ACAGACCAGCAGGTCTGGCCTCTATCATTACAGCTATTCTCACAAACCCATTTCAGATTTGTCTTCTTGACCTCTTCCAATTCCCTTTTGGAACAATTTGGTTTTTGATACCAACATAGGCGCAAAATCCTGACGGCTCTGCTTGTTCTGCCATGACTCTATTGTCTGAGCGTAAGCACAGCCACGGTCACTTAAAAAAGTGAGTGTGTCCCACTTCAGTGCAAACCAAAGAAAAACAGGAAAGAATAGCATGTCTCAGCAACAGAAAAATATGTTATCTGCAACTGAGCATGAATGCCCGCTGATCGACACCATCATCAAACAGACACAAAATCTTTTACATGTTTGAGCAGCCACGTCAGAGCAAGTTTTCATTTCACGTCTCTCTCTCTCACCCATTTTAACAGCCACAGTAACAAAAAGCACCCGGGCCTCTTCCAGCACAGTTTGGTTCTCCTCCACCTCCCGCTGCTCTCGGACCTGCACAGATGATTGTCAGTTTCTGCCCACCACAAGGGAGCCGTGTGATAACAAGCTGAGAATAAAACAGAGCAAAGAGGTCTGCCTTCAATCTTTGGCAGTGTCGTATTCATTTGACCTGAAAATATTCCTCTGAGAAACTGTGCTGGGTTACACACCACAAGGCCTGCTCTTCAGCTTTTTTAACAATCCTGATTTCAGTAAGCAAGGCCAGACACCAGCAGAGGCGGTCTGACAATATTTTGTCATATTTTGGGACAAAAAAAAAATGTTTTCAGTACCAAAAAAAACCCAACAGTCAAGACGTCCAGTCTGCAGGAAAGGTTTGAAAAGTTTCTCCTGATTTTTTTTTTGTATTTGGAAACACAGAGAACTGTCACTTAAATGTCTACAGTCGCTGCTCTTTAAGGACAAAACTAACATCCAGAGAAACATTTTCACCTTGCAATTCACTCAGGTCACTTTAATACAACAAAAAATCACCTTGGAAAAGGTGATTTTTCTCAAGGAAGCCACTTTCGTTCCTAATTAAAATCAAATATGTTGCAACAAGGGGTCACCGCTTCTTTGACTGGGTAGATTTCTATGCCAGATGCCTCTCCTGACACAACCAGGACGGGATTTGTGTCTGTTTCTTTGTATCTTTCGCTGGCGAGGTGAATGTGTAAACCACTAAACTATGGAAACACTGGAAAAGGAAAAGTGCCAACTGAGAGCACTTCTTTTCTCAAAATAACCCTTCTTAGCTTGTAACCTCCCTGAAGGTCATCACAAACACATTCCAAGATAATTTAAATAGAGTTTATAAAAAGAAACACTGTACTCTCACACAAGACAGTGTGACTTCTCACAGTATGCATGCTGTGGGGTTTTTTTTATTCATCTCCACCTCTCAGAGAAAAGTGGTTTAAATTTAACTCTCGTTGTGTTAATTAATGTTAAAACTTTTTCTGTTTATATGAATCAAAAAGGATATCATCACATGAAACTTTTTGTTTAGCCTCTTTCCCAGTCATCAGTGAGTCATCTGTCTCTGTCTTATTATATGCTAAGACATCATATTTTAATTATTTAACTTCACTAACATGCTCATCAGTAATGCTCCAGTACCACGTTAAACAGTCGTGGGCACAGTGGAGTATGTCCGTAGGTAAGGAAGAAACTGATTGGTGCTGTGCTGAATTGTTAGATGAATGTTTAGTTGGCATTCTTCAAATACAGAATAAACCCCTAACATTATATAAGGTATTGTGAGCTGTTACAGATGATATGTTTTGTCATAGTCCTCATCTTTCATCAGTGTGTTTTCCTCACTCTATATTCTCATTTTACCTTTGACGCACTGGAATTTACCGTTTCGCTCCAACCTCATTTCAAGGAAAGTGGGGTAATTAAATGGAAACTTTATCGCCCGCCACCTTTTATGGAGAATTATAAAAATGTATTTTAAAATGAGAGAAGTGCTCTTCACATGGTTCCTGTCGTTCTCTGTAATACTTTAATTGTTTTTAAATGGAAGACTATTATTTTCTCTGCTAATTGAAGAAAATTCATACCTGAGTAGCTCGATGTAGAAGTATATTAGTGGTGCACTGAGATGCAATGTAGAAAACTTGTTATTGTTGACAGCAAGCAGCTTAATATGCCTCAAAGTTGCATTTTATTATGAAAAAACCCTCTGATGCCCACATTAGGAACAAGTGCCAGTTTAGTAAGAGAAGATGTATTTTGTAAGGAAGGATATCGAGGTGGATGGACGGGTTGACAAAAAAACAACAAAAAAAAAACACATTTTACTGAAAAAAAGATGTTTTCACTTGATTGTAAGTTAAAAATGTATCTGATGTGACTCTGGCAAATCACGTACACTGACACATTGACAAGGTTTAATTCAAAAAGCTCAAACGTTTCCAAAGAAACAGCAGAAAGTAGTGTTGGCAAATTCAATATTAGTTGCTAGGATCAGATCAGTCAACTGGCACTGGCTGGCATGGGTAAAGGAGATATGGCCCCATTCACTGGCAAATAAAAATGACTGTTAATAACCCCCAAAAAACCCAGATTTGATATTTCTTCAAAACATTTTGGATAATAAAATTACTAAATATAATTTGATTCAAAACACCGGTCTGTTCTATTACGCCTTTAACAACGTGAAATAACTTTGTCAATGGAAACATCAATGCCAACCACTTTGCTGTCAGACTGTGGCAAATAAGCAATAATGCCACCTTAAGAGATGATTTCCTCAGTGGATCAGTTTGTCAAGCACTGTGCAGAAGCCTCAAGTCTTGGTGCATTAAAAACGGTGGGTAGCATATTAACACCGCTATATTAACACGGTGGGTAGCATATAAATATATTAACACCGCTCAGTGAAATACGACCACACCTTTCTTCTCACTGCACAGAGCTGCTATTTATGTCGCTCTATTTGCACACATTAGTCTCATATATTTAAGTTTGTTTCGACACCTGAAGAAACCTATGCACCTATAGGTTAACCTATAACACTTATTTATAGAAGTGTTAATGCCATGAAACTTTGAGACAAATAATTTCCCACCTCCAGTTCACCTGGTAATCTTATAAATATAAATAGTCTACTGTAAGAGAGGGAAAGAGCTATTGAGAGCTTTGTTTTCAGGCAGGATGTAAACTGTCACATTGTTTTTCCTTCTGAAAGTGAAAGTAAAGGGCAAATATATTTTCATCAGGACACTGTTCATACAATCTATGCAAGGGGTGTCAAACATAAGGCCCTGGGGCCAGAATCATTCTGGTGACAACTTCAATTTGGCCCACTGGAGGGCTTTGGAAAAAGCATGAATATTAACAGTAATTTCCTACATTTTACAGCTTTTTCAACTGGTAAAGACCTCCCCCAAGGCCATTCATGCTACAGCAAAGTGGTTAAGTAATGAATAAACAACTAAATGAGAGAAAAATTATTGTTTGTTTTGTTTTTTTCTCTATCGATGAAAATAGAGCCACTGTGTAAAAATAGAGCACTTTCTGTGAACTAAAAAAAAGCTGTGAGCAATGAGCTAACAGAGCTTGTGCCATGATTTTACACATTAAATTATTACAATTTAAGCCCAAAGACTTGTGCTGCCACATTAATTTACTGCAGCAGCATTTCTTTAACATATCGAAAAACTGAGACATATCATTGAAATTGCATATTTATAAATAAATATATAGTAAAAAGTTCTTTACACCAACCGAAAGGGCCAGTTTCACTTCACTTAAGATTAAAGTGGACTGTATGTGGCCCACATACATTGAGTTTGACATCCACATTACAATGTAAAAAATATTCAAATTTAAGAATCTGAAGTATCCCCTTAAAATTTAAAAATCATCTGCAAAAAGTTTGGGACGAAACAGTCAAAATGTACCATCCTTAGTTTTAAATTGGCAGAGCTCTTCTGTTCTTACCAAATACAACTGGCTTATCAGAAACAGGTTATAGCTACCCTCGGTCAAGTGGTCATTATTTATCCCCAGTGGCAACACACACACAGTCACACATGCACACCGAGTGCTAATAACAAATACCGCGACCCTTCTCTGACAGCCGTTTATAGCTGACTGAAGATGTAGAGGTGAAAAGGTCACTCATTCCTTGAGGGAGATTGCATCTTGGCAGCTAGATTGCATTTCAGTGCCCAAGGCCTCATCTCATTCTGTTACCAATAAGAGCAGACGTATGACAAATCAAAGTAATCCCAGAAAGGTAACCACAGAGGCCAAAAACCCCATAAAGCTCTCCAAGAAGTTGCAAGTGAGTGCACAACAGGAGTCTGCGAGGGAAAAAAAACAACACGAGCTTGAAATCTTTACAGCTGGGGAACATGACAGACTTCACAATGAAAATGCAAGTGATCGGTAACGGGGGCTATCAGAGATGGATCGAGACAGGCAGACACAGCGGAGCTCAACCCTCAACCCACAGCAAAAAGATACGATCAACTGAACTGAGCAGACTGACAGCAGATGCCTTGGTGAACTAAGAAGTGCTGCTGTATGGGGAGGAGGGCGAGGCAGAGGTAGGTGAAGAATTATAACACAATGGTAACTCTGTGATTAACTAGTGTACACATAATGCAAGCTCCAAATGTGTCACAGCTTAACATGGCAAACAATGCAGTGCACACCCACACTCAACGAACTGTATAGGGAGCAGAAAAGGCTCCACTCACCCACACAGTGGGCTTTGTACACATGATCTAAATGCATGATCTGTCTCTTTCTCTCAACTCTGCCCCCTCCTCACTCCTCTAACATCACTGTGGTTACAAAGACATGCATAAGAGAGCTCCTTTGGAAAAAAAAAAAAAAAAAACGGGGTAAGAAAAATCTGAGGCGAGGAAGCAAAGTATCACTTTCAGCAAAACAAACAGTCTCCCCTCTTCAAAAGTCATGCACAAGAATACATATATTTATATATATATGTATATATATGTTTACATATATATATAAAAATATATTTTTTTTTTTTAAAAGACAGAACTCACCCAGAAGAGGAGATTGAAGAAGACCATTCCATATCGCAGGGCCATCATGCAACCCTCAGCCATCCTGCAGCGCCGCAGTTCTAGGAGGAATATGAAGGAGAGGTCCAGGTAAAACACCACATACTTCTTGCCCTGGGCATAGCGTCCCTTGGATGTTTGCGGCCCCTTTGTCGTGTGAAAGCCGAACGCAAACGGTGGCCGCTTATACTCGAACTCTCCGCTAAAGCGGTGAAACCCAGAAGTGAACGGCGGCGTGTCGGGTTTGCTGTCCAGAGATGGACTGCGCCGATATGGAGTCTCGTCTGTGCTCGAGCGTCTCATAATGGAAGCTGAATGAGCCTTTAGGAGTCTTTAATAGTCACTCTGTGCACTTCAGGTCTGAACAAAGTCCACAGCGAGGGACAAAGAGGTATTCCACTGAGGGGGGGCTGCGAGATGGATTTCAGTAGTATTTCTAACCTAGCCTCAAAATAATTAAACTCCTGAACTACTGATTTAATTATACCCAGAGTGGGATCACACGTGATCTGATGTAATCTGAGAGAAAACAATATGCTGCCATTCACTTCAACCGACTTGCTATTTTTGAATCTTATATATTATATATTCTGCAGGACAGTTTGCATAATCCTGCCACAACATCTGTGTAAATCTGAACATTTAGGACATAATCCCAACATACACGTACACATCTGCACATCCCTATCTCTTTAATCCCTCGCACACAGGTGTGATGCTCCCAGATAAGCTGATCTGCAGTTTCATCTCATAAAGGTTCAATCAGGTAAATGCTTGGAGAGTTTGACCTCTCTAGCGCCTTGGGCTTGCCAAAATGATCCAGAAATGGTCCTACCTGGTCTCATGAGAAATTCCTGAGCAGGTGCTTCCTGGCTGGCAAATAACAGCACCCCTGCTTTGGTTAATCAACTTCTTTTACTCAGAGACAGAGCGCATGTCCGCTGAGAATGAAACACTACTCTCTGGTCTTAGTTGCGTCTGAGTGTTCGGCATGTGACTGGCGATGTGCTTTTGCTGACATGCACGGAGCAAAAAAAAAAAAGAACTAAGATAGAAAAGGAGGCGAGCGGGAAGAATGGTGTTATGGATGTGAGAGGAAGAATGGAAGAAGGCATGAAAGGATGAATGACGCTGATGAGCAGACCATTCTTTGGCTTCTTCAATTTGTATCCCTGTGGAATTCCTGCCTTGCCCAATTTCCTCCTTGCTTCTTTAGTTCCTGCCCTAACTTGAACCTTTTGTCTCTGAAAAGTGTCTAGGGGTTGTTCTGCGTCTCTCCACTCTCATCTAACAAATCACTCTCTTCAACTCCCTCTTATTCTAATCCTGAGCCCCTCTCTGCTCTCCCCCCCTGTGCTGATGGTGGTTAATTAATTTCCAGACTCTCATCAGAGAAGCAAAGTGTGCGGTTGTCCCCTCCTCTCGTCTCCCTCCTCCGCTACAGCGTTTTCTCTCCTCTTCTCTAGGTGGGCAAGGAGATCAAGGTGTCCACCAGGGTCATGGCCAAGCAGCGAGAGAAGAAGCAGCAAGAAGGAGAGACAGGCAGCGAGAAGAGAAAGACAGCTTCCTCAGAGAAGCAAAAGAAAGACTGCAGTGTTTGAGCGGTAGTCCAGCCTCGCTGCCTGAAGCTCCCTCCCTCCCTCTCTTCACAAGCTCCTGTTCTCTTTCTCTCTCTCTGTCCTCCTGCCCCCCCTTTCCCTTTTTCTTTCCTGCCTTCTCTCACAGGCTCCAATGCTCTCTCCTCCACACACACAGTCTCACACACCCCATCCCTCCTCAGAAACTGTCCCCAAAACCTGGCAGCGGGAAAGGCAGGAGCAGTCATTCACATTCTGGCCACACCCTATGAGAGTGCACAACCAATCAGTGCCTCGCAGCTCCATCCTCCCTCGTGCACACGGCAATCATACCCTACCATCTACTAGATAACTCTCTCTCTCTCTCTCTCTCACGCACACACGATGTACGTGCACACAGAGGCGCACACAAAACCTGGCGTGTTGTTAACATACCAGTGCTGAGAAGCTTGCTGCACTTGCACTAGTGCTTCCTCCTCCTCTCCTCTCTGCCTCCCGCCTGGAACTCATTCCACATGCAGAGGTTGTTCTTGCTCACAACCCAGGCTGCTCTCTTCACGCTTTACTTCAGTCATGTTCCTCTCTCCCTCTGTCTCTCTCTGGACCTGAACTTGGGTCATACAATATCTGTGCGCGTAGCCTCGCACTGCACGGATTTTCACACGACAAACAACTCACCTAAAGTGTGTCTCTGTGTGTGCGAAGGCACACACGGCCGCTGACATTCACACAAAATAGCGTAACTGCATGCTCCCCACAACCTGGGAGCCATCTGGGTCACTGGTTTTATGAGTCCACAGAGACATTTCAAAGCTTCAGAGGTACTGACTTTATTCAAGGCTGCATCAACTATTTAATGGATTTTTGTTTTGTCTCCTGTGTGTATTTTGGTCAGAGCGCAGAGGCAGCGGCAGCCTATGCTAGGAGAATGAATTTGGCTTACTGAATGACTGACGTTGTTGAAAAGATTTTTGGGCTACTAGTGTTTTCATCAAAATTTTGTCAGGTGTGAAAGAGTAGGAAAAAATACCCTTTATCCATGAAAAGAAAAACAAGGGCAGACCTTGTTAAGCAACATGAAGTAAAGCCAAAGTGCAAATATCATATCTGAGTTGGCTGCTGTTGTAAAAAAAATATATATATATATATATTTTAAGCACTTCATCTTCACATCCGAACGTTGCGATTTTAATAACCAGTGCAGCATAAGGAATGACGTTCCAGTCAGTGAAGCTTTAATTACTTGCAGCTGTTGATGTCACAGCAAAGTGTGCCCTCTATCTATACATGCTATCACATGACTGTCACGTGATATTTTACGTTTCCCCTTCCATCTGCTTTCAGCAGGGGTGGCAGGCTCACAATAGTGGTCACATGCTTTCTTTGCTTGGTTTTCATCTTCACCAACAAGATCTACACAAACACTTCTGCTGCAACTCTGATGATCCAACTGCATTTGCATTGCTGTGGAGTTATTCATCATCTAACAGAAGATTTCCTGGATTTGTGAGCAATGGCATTTGCTAAAGCAACAGACTATTCCAAATGCATTAAAATTCACTGAATATAATATATATAATAGTCACACAGAAAGGCAGGACGTGGTCCCAGATGCAGGACTCGGGAGACAAGGGATGAACTCAAAAATCCGAACAGAACTGAAAACTAGGAAACCAAGAGCAGGGAGACACAATCATGAGGGAGTACACGAGAAAGGACAAAGGGACACTCGGACAACATACACTTACAAGATATTGAGATGAGAGAGAACAGGTGAGAACATAGCCGAGAGTTACTAACATGAAGACTCAAGAGGGACTTAAACTGAACAACACTTAGCAAAATAAAACAGGAAGAGTGCAACACAACTGATTGAAGAGACGATTATTTGACACAACAAAATGAGGGAACAAGACAAAAAGACAAACACAGACAAAAGACTGCAGAGGAACAGAATGGGGAAACAAAGGGGGATTAACAGAATGAACCTAAGGATCTACAAAACAGAAGCTCCGAACTGAAAGGATGAAATAACAACACCATGAAGAACTTGTATCAGGCATAAGAAAATAAACAACATATAACAGAAAGATAAATTGCAGGAGAATACAGAACCCTACTCCAAAGATAGACAAAAACACAAAGCTAGAAAGAACCTGGACAATAAAACTAAAAAACATCACAGTGACAGATGGACATTCATGTGTCGTGCTAATGTTGTAACACACGATCCAGTAAAATGTCTGTAGATGAGGTTTTACGGGTTCAACAAGAAACGTATAAATTCACTTCTTTTTTTCCTCCAAATATAAACTACCACATCTCTCTCTCTCTCTCTCTCTCTTTGAGCATATTTATACCATTTATTATATATTTATCAATCACAGCACGTAAGGGGAAAAAATATTTACACAGGATGTGGTTCATCTTACTTTTACGTCAGTTATCCCACTAATTGGTGCAATCTGCTGTCACTTTCATTAAATATACAGACTGAAATGAATCATGCAGCAGGAAACTTCAGCAAGTGCAGCAGTAAAGTGGATTCCACTTCAGGTCTATATTTCCACTTACAAACAGCTTCATCGTAGACTCACTGGGTGCATTGGCACTACAGGGCTCACGGTGACTTTGAACTCCTCACCATGTACGAATACATGGGGAAACAGAAGCATGGCAAGCAGCATGATGTAATTTAGCTTTATTCAGACTGAAGGTTTGTAGATGGGCCCACATTAAAACGCTTTATGGATCGTTGTAATGTGAAAGCATAATATGAACGGACAGCCTTGCTCAGTCAGATGCACAAAGTGCGCTGCGCTGCACTCCGGTCTCCGTGCAGCCATAAAGGGGTAGGAGTCTGGCTTGCTTTCCCTTGTTTAAAGCTGGAGTATGAGTCTCCTATGAATATCTCCACTAAATGACAAAACAGTCTACAAGGATGACTGCAGTGCGCACAGAGCAGTAATATGAGCATATGAAATGAGAATGGCCTTTCCAGAAGCCTGGCAAATTATTTAGAGCTGTTTGCCTGGTAGAATTTAAGCTTATGCAATCACAAAAAACATTTCACTTCACACTTTTAAGATAATGCAGTTTTTGGACGGTCAAACTTTCACACTTTTTATTCTTACTTTAAAGCAGCCTGTTTATTTTCTTTAAAAATCATTGAGAGTTTACAAAACAGGGCTCAAGTAAATGTGTGAATGAGATGCAAAAATCATAATGTACTTAAAAAACATCAGTAAGGCTAAAATCAAACTGGACACAAAAATTGTCATTATTAAACAGAAACCAACCGCTGGGGTTAAAAAGTAGATCATTGACGTGCCAAAAACTGTTGTTCCTTGAATGGGTACTTGAAGTTGGGTCCCTATAGGCACCCTATGTTTACAGCCTGGTCTCTTCCTCTAATTTTCCTGCTCACGAGGCTGTGATTATTTTTAATAACCTCTCACTTTAATCAGGGAATGGGTGAGATGTGGGTGCCAACTAGGCTGCTTGCTGTCTGCTAGGATTTACCTGAACTAATTCAACAGTGTTTGTAGCTTTGGTGCCTTTTGTGCCAAAGCACATGCAAAATGGTCTCATGTGTGGTATAGGTCATCCAAGAAGCCCATGGTCCAGTTTTGGTGAGTAAAATTCTATTTAATTTTTATTTACCCGTAATTGACAAGATTTCTGGTATCTGGATTCAACTCCAGGACCTTCTTGCACCACTGTTCCACCCTGGGCCCTGGGAGAGCATGCAAAGTCATCCCAAAAAGGCCCTAAATAGCCTGGCATGGATGTATTCTAAACACATGCTCGCTGGGTTATCTGGTGATTCTAAATTGGCCATAGATGTGAAAGTTAGCATTAGTCCTTTGACTGGTGATCTGATGAATAGATGGATGGATGGATAACATATCCAAGTAATGCTCTCATGCAGTATAGATGCATCTTACAACCAGATCTTGTGAGTGTTTTGATAATGTAGCACCTCTTCCAAATGTAGCCACTTCAGATGATGCCAAGCAATCATGCTAACATGTAAAGCCCCTAAAAAGGGTTTCACAAACTACAGATAAGCGCTCAATGGCTATTTCCATCGTTTATATCCTATTGATGTAGTTTGACTGCTGTAGCTGAAATACAGCTTAAATAACTGAAAACGTGTTTTTTAGGTTAAGTCCTGATAAAAAAATTAAAAAAACTTAAAAAGTAGCTTTACTGTATGTCTGCACCGCAGATCCTGCAGATTTCTGTTCATGGGTAATGTGCAGGCCTAAATATCACACTATTATTAGTGTTTAATTATCACATACTGAGAATATGCATGGCTCAGGTGCTGTCAGGACATCACTGTCCAAAAACACAGCTGTGAATGTGAGGCATATGAGCTGACTGAAAGCACATTTTCACAACATCATGACACCATGACACCATTGAAGACTCAGGGAAATGAAGATTAATAAGAGCCGCTCCTGTGAGAAATAGCCATGTTTTTACCGAATCAGCTGACTAAGAGGGATTTAAAATTTGCTTTGCTGACAAAGAATTACAGACAATAAGACAAAATATATGCATCAAGATACGTGACTAAAGGGTTTAGTAAAAGCTGAAACCAGCATTGCAGAGTAAAAAAAGCAAATCACAGAACAAATAGAAAATAAATTATTTAGGAGCCTTGTAGTGGAAATGGTAATCGAACATAATAAGAGATACTATTTAAAACAGAATTAATGGGAGAAACAGATTATTATATCTGCTTTTGGTCTTCAGATTTCTTCCAAACACACTGGGGTCATTTTTGTTTGTTACTTAGAGTTTAAATAATAAATAACACCTAAATATGTAGACGTAATCTGAAGCACAGCAACAACAGCACACAAAACGACTTTCTCTGGATTCAGGGCTGAATCTACAACCTTGAGCGTGTCTAAAATCACCTGAAGGAAAGAACAGCTTGACATTTCTTCTTTCACAGTCAGAAATCTAAATCGGCTGGTTTGTGTTTTGACAAAAAGATAATGCTGAATTCTGTTATCAGTAGAAAGTTTGCGTAACCGCTTGAGGAACATACTAATAGATCCAGCTTTGCCTGCAGTCTCACTGAGATCAAGATTTTTTTTTTTTTTTTTTTTTTTAAAATAGGCATAGACAGATAAATAGAATAGAAAAAAAAACATTTAAAAACAATT